TTGCTGAAGATTTCAAAGCTCATAAGGGCCACCTAGAAACAATGACCAGCAGAGGCTCCCCCAGCCAGGAAATCAAGGAAATAATATTAAAGTGGTATCAATTGTTTAGCTGAGGGCATGGTCTTGGGTAGAGTCTGTCTATAAGGCAAAACATGAGAACATAGGATTGGAAATCATGAATGCTCTACTGTAAGGGAGGAAAAGAAGCCATCTTCTCAGGGCATGGAAGCAGAGAAGGGTACTCAGAGAAGGCCTTGTGAAAGAGACAGCATTTGATCTGGACCTTGAAATTAAATAAAAATTTAAATATTCAGAGATTAGAAGTCGGGAGAAGGAAGTAGCGGTTCACCAGACATTCAGTCTGTATACTAAGTCAACATCGCTTCTTTCCAAGTCCTAACAGTGCAGCATAAGGAAGAACACATCTTAAATAAAATTAATAGTGCCCCTCTTCCCTCTGGACCTTACATTCTTTAGAACAATCCTACTTGGGCCAAATAAGCTCACTAACACGTTTATAATCTTCACTGCACTGTCACATGAAGTAAGCCACCTACTAGAGTAAGCCGAGAAACACTTTCACTTGTTTCTCTATTTCCGTATGTATCAAATCAGTTTTAGAAAATGCAGTGGATGACCTACTACATGTGTATACTGCAATTGAGCAATCCGGCAAAGGGATGGCAGGTGTAAGAGCCGGGTTTCTCACTGTCGGAGTGGGAACTTACAGATGAGCAAGAAAGGAGGCTTGAATGATCCATGTCAATGCATTAGAGTTGGGGACATCAGCATGACACCTAGCTTAATAGAAGTAGAGGTGGTTACATTTAGCAACATCTATTGAGACGTGTATGTGGACAAGTGAGCATACACACATATACCTCCTTGCTCTGTCAGCTGAGAAGACCTAGAAGTAATGTCTCCCCAGGAGTCATGCACACCGCCAGCACCCAGATGGTGGTTTCTAATACCTTTCTCCAATAAAAGACACCAGTGTTCTTTAGAGAAATGACTCATTCCAAGACTGGGACAGGAAATATACACCATGAGCCTACAGCTTCTTATAGTGCCAGAGAGTTAAGAAGGTGCCCAGAAACATGTGAACAAACCACAATGATGGGGGTACATCAAAAACATGTGAACAAACCACAATGATGGGGGCACATCAAAAACATGTGAACAAACCACAATGATGGGGGCACATCAAAGAGGTACAAGAGCCAACTGAAAGAGCTCTCAGTGCAAAAGCTGGAAAAGTTTGAGCAATAAAATCAAGTGGTGATAGACTCTCACCCAAAGCATAACATAAATATCCGAACCTATACTGCTAAGAATGATTGAATAAATAAATAAGTGGCAAAGAAGAGACAAATCTTCTATACAAAAGAATTACAACTTATTTAGATACTCTGCCCTTAAGGAAGTAGAGCTTAACTCTCCACTCCTTAAGTGGCACATGGTGACTTTCTTCCAAACAGAACAGTATGGAAATGGAGGAAAAACAGTAACTTCACAGTGAAGAAAGCTGACAACCACTACCTCCAGCCAGATGATCAAGGTTAACATCAACAGTGGTAATAAGTCATAACGAATAGGATGGACCCTTGATATGATATGATGAGAATCGAACTTAATCTCTGTGGTCCTCCTCCCCAAAACACATAACTCTGGCCTACTCATGACAAAAGTATAAGTCATACTCAAACTGAGGACATTGTACAAAACACCAGACACATACTCCTCAAAACTGCCGAGGACATCAAATATAAAGAGAGTTTCAGAAATTGTCACTGACCAAGGAAGACCAAGGAGGCAGGACAACTGATTGTAGTATAGTATCCTGGTTGGGCTCCTGGGACAAGAACAACAAAAAATGACAGTGGGACAAACAGAAAATTTGAATCAAAGGTGAACTTTACTTAACAATAATGTAACAATATTGGTTCATTAGTTGTGACTAAGGTACTGTATTAATGTGACATGATAATAACAAGGGAAATTGGATATAGGGTATCCAAGAACTCTGTGTACTATCTTTGTAATAATTCCAGAAATCTAAAAATGTTATAAAAGGTTTATTTTTAAAATGCACCGGAAGTGCTTTACTCTCAAAAACTCTCTACAAAAATGCTGACTGCTGAAGTCCCGAGGCAAGTCTTTCTCAAGTGCTGGCCCTTTCACCAGTTGGGCTAGAGCAGAAGTCAATTGTGAAAGATACCTTCTACTATGCTCATTTGTCTGGCTTCTTGGGGGCCATCTGGAGCCCCAATCCACCTAATTAAGTCCCCTTCAAATTAAGAGATGAGACACGGAAGGGAGAGAAGTGTAGAAATGACCATTTCTGCTTCCAAGCTCACTGTTCTATTCCAGAGAATCTTAACACTTTCCCAGACTGAATATTGGTCCTTTGACATTCAACACAGATGTCCTCTCATGAACTGCCTTCAAATAACACATGAAGGAAACAAGAGGGGCAAAAGCTGTCTTCTCCAATGCACTTAAGCTTTGCTAGTTATCTGTCTCACTTATTTTAGCAACAGTGACAAACAATGTGAAGCTGCACTTTGTCGATGGGTCTGCTGATTACTACCCCACTGAGCTGTTACTAACTTTAAAGGGGGTGTTTGGCCGGGCGCAGTGGCTCACGTCTGTAATCCCAGCATTTTGGACGGAGGCCGAGGCAGGTGGATCATCTGAGGTCAGGAGTTCAAGATCAGCCTGGCCAACATGGTGAAACCCCGGCCCTACTAAAAATAATCAGCTGGGCGTGGTGGCAGGTGCCTCTAATCCCAGCTCTCAATGAAAGGTTTTGAACCTGGGAGGCAGAGGCTGCAGTGAGCCAAGATCGTGCCACTGCACTCCAGCCTGGGCAACAGAGCGAGACTCTGTCAAAAAAAAAAAAAAAAAAAGGAGGTGTTTTTCAGGGGGAAAAAACTTTTCCCACAATAAATCATATATTGTATAGTAAAGAATGGTAGGCACTGGCTTGAAGCATAGATAGAAGAAGGTTACAAAATAATTTCCCAAGATAAGTTCTTAAAAGGGAGTCACATGGACATCACAAAATATCCTTTTGCATGATATGTCCTTTTGTTTCATTGTCATTTTCAGACTATAAGAATACAGGCACCTTTGGTCTAATGTGATATCCATCCATCCATCCATCCATCCATCCATCCATCCATCCATCCATCCATGCATATCTGCAAGTTACCATTTATCAGGCCTCTGATGACTCAGCTGGTGGCAGATATCTACAGAAGTGTTGGAGAACCAAAGGCTCTTAGTGCAAAGGTGAGAGTGGCAATGAGATTGAGGGATGGTAGTGGTCTGTGGATACAAGGAGGGAAAGACAATATAAATATAAAATTTAAAATACTAGTGATCAATTGTGGTTATCAATAACAGAGAGCAAGAGTGAGTCCAAATATTAATAGCATAACAACAAACAAATGAAAATCATTGCTATTATGCAAAGTGAAGAGTAGTAAAGTAAAATAAACTCAAGGTAATGGAAAATAAAAATAATGCATGGAACTTTACACTAAAGGATGAGAAGCAAGGAAAACGCGAAGGAAAGTGACCTGGGAGGAATTTATTTGATGGAATTCAGGAGCTGCAGTTAAGCAGCCTATTCGGCCTCTCTTGAGCACAGGTGCCTTGGCTTTTCTTGAAATTCCTGTATGGAGCAATGCACTGTGCAAATGTATTAATCACATATGATTAACTATTTGCTTGACAGGAAAGGTCTGGAGTCACTGAGTGTGAAGGTCGGGGGTGGGGTGGGGGACCAAGATCCAAGTTCTAAATCCAAGAACTCCCACAGTAGGGATAAGATTTTACAGTTAAATGAAGTATTAAGGTCAGGTGAATAACTTCTTTTGATTACTCAGTGGTTCTCGATTTCATGGCCAACACCAGGGAAGGAGGCAAGTATTGAGCACTCTGCTTGAATTTTCTCTAAGGAGGGGGAGAAAACCCACCACTCTAAATGCTAAAAATAAGTTAAAACCATACCATTTCCTTTGGAAAGACAACATGTTTATGAACTGTGACCATTCTCTCCAAGGAATCAGAATCCTGCCTTCCGCCTTCTCCTTAAGTCCCCACGTTTCCTCGGTTCACTAGATAGTTCTGAAAGGAACACACAGTTACCTTTCCTTGACCACAGCTGCTTTTGGTCCTAGAGTAAAATTCACAATACACTCCCAGTATTCCTGCTCTTCCTAACTTCATGCCTGAAAAAGGAAATGTCTGTATTGAGACAGTTTAAAATATATAGACGAACTTACGCAACAAAATACAACTTGTTCTTCAAAGCAGTCACCTTGCGGTCTCCAGACACGTATCCAAAGACACTGTCATTGTTCACAACAATTTTTGGAAGTCTCCTTTGGATATTGCCTTTATAAGAAAATCAGGCTCGACTTTATGGCTCATTGTTTTTGACTGAGAATACTATTTCCTAGCTTCATCATTAATGGGGCAGCAAATCCCTTTGGTTTGAAAAAGCCCATTCTCTGCAGACAAAGATTTGCTACAGTGAAGAGACGCAGAAGAATGTATGACAGCTGAAGGCAATTAAACACGGGGGATTCCGAACCTGTGCAAGTGACTCACTGGTACATGTGAGCAGCCTCCTCGTGTTTACCGGGAAGAGGATCCCATCCGCTTAGGAACAAAAGCTGAGATATGAGTGCTAATGAAAAAGAAACCCCAGACCTAATCACATCACTTTATCATTTCATATAGAAAATGTAGTTATACGCATCTCTCTCGCTCTGTTTTAAATCCAATTACCTAAAAATGTGATTTTTCCCCCAACTTTCATGGAAAAAGAATTTTGATCAGATATTTTCATTTTTAGTTGTTTTAACTCAGAAGATCTAATAATATTGTGTAATCAAAAATGTTATAAAATCCTATTAATCGAAGATAAATAAATGAACCTCACCTAAAATATTTTCTCTCAAGCACCAAAAAAAAATCCACTTAAGACATATAACCAAATGTTATTTAATATCTTAAAAAGTAACACAATCCAAAATGGATATTTCACACAACACTACATAAACAACATGAACACAGTATCACCATAGGGAGGGACTTTCAAATATAGACTTACAAAAATCCCTGTCCTTTTTTTTCTTTTAAGTTATTATACTAAGCATGACAAGTAATCATCATTTACAGTATGGTACACGGACACGATAAAAACCATGTTACAAATGTGCTGTTATAAATCAGTAACATCAGGGAAGACATTTCATGAACTGTAATTATTTCATATGAAATACTATACAATATAAACAGAACATCCATCTTGGATGACCTTTACAGCAACCAGAGACCAAGTAATTTAAAATTTTTTTTTCAGTGCAAACACATTTTATTCAAGGCAGTCTTGGCTGCAAAACTCCTTTCTAACATACAGTAAATCCCACTTGCACGTCTTAATTCATTTACCCTAATGCAATAGTCACATTCAGTCACTCAGAGAAAGATACCTGCAGAATTATGATCCCTTTAAACTTGATGTTTAAATTTAATTCTCTTCTAGAACGTAGTATCTGTGTCAACTGCTCTAAGGACTTTAATTTGTAGCTGTCAATACTTGCATGAAGGTGACCCTGGGGCAGCTCTATTCCTCACCCAGCAAGTGTGCACCATACTGCACAGTGCTCTGCCCTTCCAATGTGGAAACCGTGACGGCGTGTCAGAATGGAAAGGAGGACCTCGGAGGAAAGGAAGCGGAGGAGCTGCTGCGTGTGTACTTCATGATTAGTTTCCTGGAACTTCAGAGGACAGATATTGGAGGAGATCTCAGGTCTCACATTTGGTACTTCTTCTTGGTGGGAGCAAGGGAACAGGTTCACTAAGATCAGCCTTGGGACAGGGGGGCAGGCAACTGTACATGGACCAGTCAAGCTTCTAACCTTACATTTCCAGCCTTCCAGAATCATCGCTGCCTGACTTGAAACACCCCCTTTCCTCCTTGGCATGGTGTGTGTGTGTGTGTGTGTGTGTGTGTGTGTCCACATTTGAAGCCAACAATTAATGATTACAGCCCTATAACCGATCATGTACAATCGTAGGAAAGTTTAGTGCCCCTTGAGTCTTGTAGAATTCTGAATCTTGTGAATCATCAACTGTAAGTCATAGAACTGTAAAATCACAGGATTGTGTGTTAGGGGAGCCATCACTGGGAATCTCCTTGTGGGCTGCTGCTGCAAAAGACGCAGAGTATTAACTCAATAGGAAGGTGCCAATGTCTGTGTGAAACACACAACGGGGATGTAATAATGAATGTTTTCATATATGTAATTTATGAAACATCTCCTGAATAAAAATCTGTGGGAGAATATTGGATGGATCCTTAATACCATAAGATCTTCTGGGAGAGGAATGGGGCGACAGCTGATTCTTTTATCTCACTTGGCAAAGCTCAGACTGATAGTAATCTCTTTCCTGCCCACATTTTACTAACCCAAAGCAAAACAGTGTTTTCCGTGCCTTTTGCATTTCATGTTTCCTGTGTTCTAGCTCCCCCAAGCCCTAAACATGTGTAGAAATGTCAATCACTACCAGAAGAGCCCTGGATGATGTTGACAATGGGCAGGACGGTCCTGGGGGAGACCGGGGAAAGAAGAGATCGCTCCTGCTTGGGCCACTGAGGTCTGGCAGCACGTGGCTAGTTGTGACTGGCCTGTGGTGATGGAGGAGATCCCTGTCAAAGATCATCTATCTCCTAATTTGAGAAAACACTTAGAACTGGAAAAGCTCCCTCAGAAATCCAGCTCCTCCAAAGTAGGGCTCGATATACTGTACTGAATTTCTATGGTGCTAAGGAGCACTGTGAAGAGTACTTGATAAAGTTTTTAATTAAAATTTCTGTTTCAGCACCTTCCACTGCCAGGAGCAGTCGTGTTCCTGAATGATTTAGCACGGGAACTATAGAAACCCAGTATGAAACTGTAAACAAGGGTGTGTGTCCAGATCTGCTTCTGACTGCAATGGCATTTGGGTGGATCTGTCAATCACCGGCTTCATCCATCGATACCAGAAACGTGTGCTGAGGTGTAAAATTCCAAACACCCTGAACTTTTTTTTTTTGAATGAAAATGGACAAAAGTGTCAAGTTGTATTTGTTTTCTTTGACTTTATTAGCACACATCAGAAAAATAGCAATGTATTTAGTGATTTCTCATGATGGTCTATCAAACAGATAGAAAACAGATCATTGATAGCTGCCACTGTGTTTCTGGGGAATCTTAAGTCACTCCTTTTGTTTTATTCATTTCAAGTATGGGTATTACAAAGATGACCTGTCTTGTGAATTGTTTGTGAATCTGAATGCTTTGGAAGCACTTTGAGATCCCAAAGTGAATCGTGAAAAGTCATTATGTTGTTGGTTTTTAAATCAAGCTCCAAATACTGCCCATGTTATAAATGGCTAGACTTTCAAAAAATGATCACTATTGTATCGTGAGCAATATGCTTGTAATTTAAGTTAAAAACTTTATTTTCAAGTACACTTGGTGGTGATAAGTGGTTTATCCTGGGTAGAATTTTGCAAAGCTGCGCCAACCTAAAAAAGGAACAATGCTTCTGCTTCCACTGAACAGGTTTCTTCTCCCCATGGTGACTGCAATGTAATTTAAATTTACATTTTAGAAATGCTGGTTGGGCTATGAAAAAGAGGGACCTGGGAACAGCTGGTGTTCAGATCATTGTTATTCCAGATTAACTGTGAATTGACGCTTCCTGAACCCGACCTTCACAACATCAGAGAAGCAGTAACTTGTTATTTTTATCCAGCTAGTCTCCATTCGCCTCTTCTATTTGTTTTCTCTATTTGATGGCACCCCCCCGTTCATATGTTTATTATGGTCCCCTGAGATGTGCAAAATATATATAATGGAATACAAATTATTTAACAGAAGTTGTGGAATTCACAGCACAGCTCTTTTAATTAAAGTGGAGTTTGGGCTCGACATGGTAGCATGCGAGTGAAGGCAGAGCCCGAAGTGCTTCAAGCTTGGCAGTCCACATTGCTTGTGTGTCTTCTGTTACTGAAAACTTAGAGACTTCAAATCAGATTTCCAAAGGAGTAAATAGCTCTCTCAATTACGTTCACCCATTGGCTCTTCGCCAGAGAACTTTTAACAGGAATGGGTGGGGGGGCGGGGGTGGGCAAAAGAATTTTTAAACTTCTGTTCATTCCTAACAAAATCGACTGCGCTTTCGTGGGGAAGAGAGGAGAAGACAGGATTACATCTGAAAGCCAAACAAGGGCGTAAGAGAAAGCCATGGCGATGGAAAGTCATGAGTCCACAGAGGCAATCACTGACACACACAGCACGCCATGCCCTAATGTTGAAGGAAGTGTTCAACTTTGCGCTTCTGAACGATACACTTTAACACACGGCTGCCATTTCATCAAATTTATGGAGGTAGTTATATGTAAAAATAAAAATTACCATAAAGTAATATGTTGTATCATAATAATACATAAGTGTGCAAAATGCCGACAGATGTGTTGACCCTTTCACAGAGATTCAACCAGATTCGGTTTTGTAAACCTTTCAGTTGCTAAACCCTAAGACTGGATAAGCAGTCGTGTAACACAAAGCTATGATTTTACAGGAGGAAAAGGATACTGGCAACGCCTGGCGAGGACCCCACTCTTCTGGGACCGAGAGCCTCACCGTGACCTCGGATGACATTTGCAATGTGCTGCCGGCAGCCACTCCTCCCCTGTTCAAGAATCTCAATCAGATTCAGGCAAGAATATTTTTATATGCAACATCTGCTTACATGGTATCACCTTTAAAGTCCATCATTTCTACACTAATGGCTGCTGGTCTAAGGGAGTTTTTAAAAAATTATGTACCCCATAGCATCAGGCACATAGTGTACATATTTATTTGAATAATGTCTTCTGTAAACCTATATCCCATGAAATATCAATAAATTCCTATGTTAAAGCTTCTCTTAAAGGTAATGCTTTCCTTTCCTGTTCACACAGCATTCGATTATTTCAATGGCTACTTTCAGAGGATCAGCTAGAGGCTGATGTGTTGTTTCAATGGTTATATTATTTATGAACTGAGAGTAGAAGAAAAATTTGAGAGCAGGTTTTTTGGAAAAAATGAATTTAGACAAAAATTTAGTAACCGTATGATATATAACTCCCCAAGGGAACCGACTATGTAGTCTATTAGATACATGATCATTCCTTCTGGACATATTTAAGCAATAAGACAAACAATGCATCGAGGCATGCCTTGGAGGAAATAAGGCATGAGACTGAAAGCCAACTGGCTTAAGCATTTCAATGGTATGGGAGTTTACTAAGAAACGTGCTGAAGTTTCACTATAGTAAGCACAAAAAAGGAATTTATACCAAACTCAAGGAGTTCAGTTTGACCCAATGCAACTTCCAAATAACTGAAAAACTAGGAGGGAGCATTTGAAGGTTTCAAGAATGAGTCCAACTGTGTACAGGACTGGATTCTTTAAACAGATGGCTAGTGATTCAACCTAATACAAAACCAGATGTGTCTCACAAATCATATGCCAATTACTGAAATCGGAGGTGAAAACATTCTAGATTTATTTTGGGATATATATATATATTTTATGGTGTATGGCTCCCAGCAGCACATGCCACTGAACTAAATAAAACTTTATGTCAGAACACTTACTTGTGTCCTATGTAACCCTTTTGCAAAGAATATTCCACTACTACAGATCTGTTCCACTGTTCTCAGAAAATAAAACATGGGAACGTTGGAATGTCTCTTTGCTATAAGATGAAATTATTGGTCATCCCTTTGCTGCTGGGTCTTCTTTGTGTTCAACATGACATTGGAAACCAAAGCAAAATGTTAACAAACCATTTTGAAATAAGTTGGGCTAATTAACTACACATCCACCTAAAAACGCCTCCTGAAATTGGTTACAAAGTATCTGTAAACATTACTCTGGCATAGTTCATGTATGCATAATTGTTATTCTGATAAATTTTAGGGGAGTACAAATTAGGATTATACCACACTAGCAGAATGAGCACATTCTGTTGTTTATCACATGGGCACATGTATATTTCTAATCAAAAATTATTTTAAAAGTTTTCTCTATAGATATCTTCCCAGGAATAAAAGGCCTGAAGTTCAACTCTCCCTAAATTTGCTCTTTCCTATAACCACTAAAAATTATCTCCCACAGCCTAATTTAGGCATTCTATCTAAAACTACATAAAATAGATTTATGTCCTTCCATTAGAAAGAATAACATCCTCAGGCCATACTCTTCATTTGTATCACAAAGAACATTTTGCTTTTAAACAAACTAATTATTGTATCTATTTGAGTAAGATAGGGTCATCCTAAGTATCACGAGGAGGAAATTCTCTTCCTTCAATATTTGAGTAATACCTTTTACAAGTCCACATCACCTCTCCCATCACCTAGTGCTGTGCCCCAGCCAGATTGGAAATTCCTTTCCTTTGTCCACTTCAGATTCAAAGGCCTATATTCCTGTTTGTGATCATGGAAGGTTAAAAAATCAGACAAGCATCTGTTACACTGGAAAACAAAATCCTGAAAACATTCACTCCCAGCGATTTTCATTGCGACCCCTTCTCACACACTTCCACGGGCTCCTGCAAAAGAGTGTCACGAAAACTCACAGTGAAAAATGACTGGTGCATAAACAATTCACACACAAAGGGCCAGGGTCCCTTCTAGTTAGTTTGGCATCTATTTCCCTCAGGGTGGACCCTTGCATTTGACATTTCGTGGTGACTTAGTTTTTTTGTTTTTTTTGTTTTTTTGTTTTTTGTTTTTTTGTTTTTTTTGGAAGTGTCAAGGATCAGTTCTGTGGCACCGTTTAACCACAGACTGGGAGCAACACGCATCTGTGGCATTTTAAAATGGAATTGGCAACTGCATGACATTGAAAATGCATATTACACTTACAGTGTCTAGACTTTCCTATGTGTGCTCAGATACAATTAGTGAAGCAAAAGTATACATATCACCCCTACTGTTATTCAGTTGCTACAGAGCCATAAATGTGAAAAGCAATACTCTGAAATAAAGATTTTTTTTTGTTTTTTTGCCCTAGCCCTACTTAGCAGCACAGTTTAAGTAAATACAAAAACTGTGGTTGAGATGCTTGTCTTTCCAAAGATGTAAACATCAGTCCCAGTGTCGTAAACTTTGCTGTATCGAATGAGACAGAAGATCTGAGGCAGAAGGACTATCACACACTAGTAACAGAAGCTTGCAAGCAGTTGGAAGGTTTCTGTAGCTTCTCAGCTTCATTTGTCGGCGGGTCCGCGCTCGCTCGGAAGTTGAAGGCTGGACCAGCTCCACCATGCGCCGGGCTCAAAGCAGGGTTCTGACGACGGTTACTTTCAACAATGCTTGATGTGTTGGAAGCCAGGCTCTCCCGAGTACTAAAAGAGTAAAAAGGGTTTGTTTTGTTTTGTTTGGAACATAAATAATTATAAATTGAGCCCCAGAGGAAGAGCAAATGATGTCGTTAATGGATTTCCTCTGTTGGTTCATAATGTCATATCAATATACATTTCGACTGATTATTCACATCTGCCTCTCCACCACGGGCTCCAGAAGCTTCCACAGACATATAATAATCAGCAGCACACTCAGTGAATAAAGGGTTTTTAAACAGCTAAATGCACTTTGAAATGTCTTCTCCTTCTTTTCACACTCAAGGAAACGACTTCAAAATTTGAGGTGATAGCTAGCTCTCGCAGTGGTTTTTAAAATGGATACTCATAAATACACCTAAGTCATGATTTCATTTCAGGCTGGAAATTCACTGGCATAGCCGCTCCTGAACACACTCGATAATTTTACCCTAAAGATTCCATTTTCGTTCTGGATTACATTTTGACTTTGGGGGACTCTAAGCATGCCCTTTTTGGGGGGACCCTGAGCATTTGCTGCACAGATGAGAATAAAATTCATTTTAAATGTTTTATTCCACTGTTTCAAAATTTAACACGTTAGTTAAAATACATTATATTTTCGATAAAGGACTGTAGATTTTTTTTTCCCATTGATTTGTTAAGTTTCCATTCATTTCTGCCTCACTTAGGCAGGACTGTTTTTGTTTGGATTTTTGGGTTTTTTGGTTGTTTTTTTTTTTTTTTTTTTTTTTATTTCATCAGTTATCATTAGTGTTGGTGTTTTTTTTTTGGAGACAAGGTTTTGCTCTGTCCCCCAGGCCGGAGTGCAGAGGTGTGATCTCAGCTCACTGCAACTTCCACCTCCCTGGCTCAAGCAATCCATCTACCTCAGTCGACCGAATAGCTGGGACCACAGACATGTGCCACCATACCCGGCCAATTTTTGTGTTTTTAGTAGAGATTGGGTTTTGTCATGCTGCCCAGGCTGGTCTCCAACTCCTGAGTGCAAGCAATCCGCCTGCCGTGGCCTCCCAAAACGCTGGGATTATAGGTGAAATATTGTCCTTTAAAATAATTTGTATAGAATAGATGTGATTTAAAAGTTGTATTATTTTGCTCTCTCTTTTACTTTTTCTAAGTTAGAAACATTTTAATCTATTTCATTGCTTTAAGATATTTAGAACATTTAAGATTTCAAATGCATAGGGCAATGGCAGAAATCAGATGACTGGCCCAGATTGAGAAGAACTGAGTAGGTTTCGTGTTCCAGAACCTCAATGTGGCTACAAGAACTCTATCAGCTACAGAGACTGAGGAAGCCAGAACATTCTCAAAACATCCACTGCATGAGGCAGAGTCAACACTTAGGAAATATTCTCTGAGCGTTGGTCCCCACATCTGACTTAAGCCTGCTAGAGCTAGTTAACAGGTCAAACTACGACAGCGGAGATGTCCTCTCCTCTCTTTCATTCCTATCCTAGGCCGATAGCAATTTTGTCTGAATCCTGTGCTCTGATAGCGCTTTCCAAGAGGTTATTTAAGCCTAACTCCTTAAGGCTTTGAGTTTGCTTCTCACCAAGAAGCCAAGAGTTAATTGTTTAAAAGGCAGTTTGTTCACCACCAACCAAAAACAAACAAACAAACAAAAACCCTGGAATTTTCTTGAATGTCAAGGGTGCCTCCAGAAAGGTAATCCACTTATAGAGAGAAGTCAAGTTTTTCATAATGCTTATGGTAAATCTGAGCAAACCTAAAGGACACTCCAAAATGTCATCACTAAAAGGGAAAGTGCTAGACTTGTCTACATGACATGTCCCCCAGGAAAATTCACCAGTGGCTTTGCCAGAGCCACCACTGAGGCATGCAGCAGGCGGAGGAAGGAGGAGGGGCAGGAAAGATGCAAAACCCCGAAGATTTCAAGACACATTCCTTTGGTTTCATTCTTAATCACGAAAGCAACTTTTTACAGTATCTGACTTCCTCATCTCTAAAATAGAGAGTTATGATGGGATTTACCTACTCCTAGGGTGACTGTGAAGAAGAAATAAGCATCAAGGAAGAATCTGTACGCTAATAAGGTAGAAAATGTGGATTATTTCTGTTACACACCTAGCATATAATGAAATAAATAGTGACTGTGGGTTCGCTTCAGAATCCATGTATTACAAATGACATATTTTCTATGGGAAAATACATTTTAAGGTTCAAAGGATTCACTCTTCAACCAGGTTTCGAGGGGTGGGCTCAACATTTATTGAGTGCCTGCTGTATACCAGACACCGTAAACACATATTACAATAGATCATCTGAGCTGGGGTCTGTCTCTACGATAAGATCCCTTTGCCCACCTTCAATCACAGCCAACATGTTAATAGTGGTAAATATGTACAGTACTTCATCTTCTCCAAAGAATGTATTTCATTATTGTTGCAATAATGATTACAGTCTGTGACGTTCACACTGAGGGCTCCGGATATGCTGATGAAAAAGTTAAAGGAGATGGAATGTTAGCAGTAAAAATATTCCTCAAATTCCAAAGTTGGGTTTTTTTTTTTAAAGAGAGCTAATGGAGTGCAACCTTAAAAATAGGATTTCAGGATTTTATAGGGAGGAGAAATGGACCAAGTGGCTGTGTTGTTCGTCCTTCTGTGCGCATGTGTTCCCCTGGCCCCAGGCGTCTACAGCACACGTTCATGCGATACATTAAGCAGATATACCCCGGCAGCCTTTGGTTTCTTGATTTTCATATTGTGTTCATCAACCAGCTTTAGGCCTCACATTTGGAATCGCAGGCTTTTCATGTCAAGACTTTTCAGTTTCAATATTAGATCTCATAGCATAGTTCAAGTTTCTACCCTTTTTCCATCTACATCCCCTTTAATTTCCAACGAAAGGGACTAAAGAATTTTGGAAATGTGGCTGAACATGACTTCTGAGCCAGCACTGAAACCCTGGGGTGTGGAGAAAAATCACCTTTTGGGGTCTTTTTGTTTGTTTGTTTGTTTGGTTGGTTGGTTGCAGCTTATTTACTGAAATATTTTAATAAATGGCCTGTCAGGGCTGGGCACGGTGGCTCATGCCTATAATCCTAGCACTTTGGGAGGCCAAGGCAGAAGGATCTATAAAAATTTTTTTTCAAATGACCAGGCATGGTGTCACACACCTATAGTCCCAGCTACTCAGAAGGCTGAACTGGGAGAACTGCTTGAGCCCAGGAGTTCCAGGAGGCAGAGAGCTACAATCACCACGGCACTCCAGCCTGGGCAACACAGTGAGACCCTGTCTCTAAAAAAAAGTAATAAAGATTCCCATGTCTCACAGCAAGGGTAAGGTATGAGCATGATAATGCTATCTGTCTAAAACAGTCCCCAGACTGGAAAGTAAAGTCTCTAGAAGTCAAACACTTTCCTTTGCAGAACATACTCCTGGATCAGCGAGACAACTCCGTGACTTCATTATGGTGTGTAGAAAATAGTTTGTCACCTAGCTTCTAATCGAAGGGTAGTAAATACGAAAGGGATAAATTTAGCAATTGTCTGTAGATTCTCTACTAAGTACATAAAATATATAGGTGATACATGTTTTCATGTAGAGAAAATTCTACTTAATATTAGTGGGCAGACGTGGCTATTGTGCGAAGGTTGTCTCTTTAGAACAAGCTTTACCTTCTGTCATGACAAAGCATTTAACTTTAAGTACACAATGAAACAACTGAAAATCAACTTACTTCAAGAAATAATCCCAGTCATAAATTCTATATTCTGCACCCCAAGTTTAGAGATAGTAAAATATTTTCTGTAGAGATACTGGTTCAACCATTTCATGAATATCTCTGTTTACCTTCAAACAAACAAAAAACTTTCAATGTTATGCAATGGAAGGTTTTCTAGCTAGAACCCATTAAACTACTCCCAATGTCTCCTTAGCAACTATCTCCTTCGTATGGCAGCTTCCTGTCTGTGGAAGTCCAGGGGCCCAGAGGGAAAGGAGAAAGGTTTAGAACCAGCGTGTGAAAAGCAGGTAGGAGGCAGAGACTACATAATGAGAAACAGACACAAGCGAAGACACCACACCTTCCACCAGCAACTGTTCTGAACTTCTACCACGGATTACAGACCTTCTGTTTTGCTAATCCGGTATCCACTACTGGGAACTCAAGAGGAAAAAGGAGTAGAACAGGAAAATGAAGGAAAAAAGGATAGTTAAAATAAATCGGAAAATTAATATCTGATTTGAGATAAAAAATTATTTAGCAAAAATGATTTCTTAGAAAAGCCACTTAGTAGACTAGTGGTTTTCAGGCTGAGGCCCGTGGCTCCCTGAGGTCTCAGAGGCTCCTCGAGGGATGGGGAGAGGGACTGGGGCCCACAGTCTCCACTATCACCAAGGCCATCTCTCAGCTCTGTGCAGACATTAGACTTCCACACACGTGTTAACTTGGAAGAAAGGCTCCATGACCAAAATAATAGTAATAATAATAATAATAATAATAATAATAATAAAAACAATGAACCAGCCCTTTAATAAATCACAAAGGCCTAGTATGGGATGAAGAAATTAATGATTCCCAGTTCCAGCTGTGTGATGCTCACTTCCAAAATTATCCAGGGATATAGTGAAATGATCACAACAGAATTAATTTTAATTCTTAATAATTAAAATAAATACATGAAGTACATAATCCTATCTGAATCCGTGTTAAAATTATAAATATTGCAAAATCTTGGGAATCACAGCTGATGAGAAATGTCAATCTCTCAGTAGTATTTCTGCATCTCAGAGTCACCAATCTGGAGTAGAAGTTAGAAGGAGAATTAGGTCCCATGTTGCTCTTTGAGGAGAAGAAAGAGTTAAGGAGAAAAAAGGAAGTTGCACAGACTCTTGTTTGCTTTCTGAATCCCTGCACAACTCTAGAGCTTTGGCCATGACCACTGGGCACCACTAACTCTCAACTGTCAACCCTTTGCTGAACTAACACCTACTACCAAGAAGGAACTACAATTAGACTGCTCAAAGGGGCTCCGTCAATTCTGCGGAGGAGAAATAAACATGGCACGTGCTTTGATCTAACAGAGCACAGGCCCCTGCCCTCGCTGTGAGGGAAGAAATATTCCATTTCTTGGCGGCGAAGGGAAGATGTGTGAGCCAGAGGGACAGGCTGCACAGAACACTGGGATCCAAATGGTAACAAGCTTCTAGATCCATTGGAGAGGTTTTGAGATCTGCTATTATATTTTCACTAGAGGGATCCCTATCCTAGCATCAATCAATTTACTCCCAACCCCTATCTTCCTCCCCCGCCCCCAGACTATTTATTCGACTCAAAAAGTTACTATTTTTGAAGGACTTAAAAAACATCCTTCTCTTAGCATGGGTGGCAATATGAACGTAGCAGAAAAAATACTGGAAATGTTGGTTTTAGTTAGATCAGACTGATGCAAGTTTGAGGGGAGGAGCCAACCCACCAGTCCAGATTGGTGATCTCTGCAGGTGCAGAAACATTTTTTTCAATTCCTGAAAAAGAAGTCAGAAACAGATTGTTAACAATACGAACCATACAACTCTTAACCCTCATCCACAGAACTGAGACTATGAAATCAGGAACTTGTCAAGTTACGTGCAGAAAGCCCCAGGCCCCGCTAGGTGCATACGTGCACAGAGACACCTCTCCCTACCGTGGGGAGTTGAATCCACTGTCCACTGTGATGCTGCTGCTGTCCATGCTGTCGAGCCGGGCTGAATGGGTGGCTCTCTGGTTGCTGCTGCTGTCGGTTTCTTTTGGGGCGAGAAGGGTGAGGTTCTTTTCAAATTTCCTCTGCAAGTCCCTTTCCTTCTCCCTCTCGAGGAGCCACTGCATGGTGCCTACGTCCTCTCTATTTTTCTCCTCCTCCGTGTTCTTGTTTGCCCCTTCCTCAGAGTCATCATCATCAGAGACGTTGTAATAGTCAAAAGAGGTTTCCTGGTTCCCTCCTGACTCCTGCTGACGTTGGGAAGCAGGCGTGGCTTGTGCCGCCGAGGTCCCCAAGGATGGTTCCAGTTTCTCACATCGGCCTGGCAATGTGTCAGCAGGTGTCTTCGGGTGAGATTTGAGGAGGGACAGGCTGGATTTGTGATAGCTGTTTACAGACAAGGTGCTGTGAAGAGGTTTGAACAGGGTGTCTTTGCTAAATATCTCTTTCCTCTTGTCCAAGCTGCTGGGCTCGGCACCATGGTGCTGGACGAGGCGTCCGTTGGCGATCCCTTCAGCCACTCCTCCCGAAGCAGCTGGGCCCCCACCCGGCCCTTTTGGTGACTCCTCCTTGTGTCCTACAGGCTCCCTGGAGGAGTGGGGGACCTGCCTATCAGATGGGGAGAGCTTTTTCACCCCCTCTGCCAAAGTCAGAGTGTCATGGTCCTCCTTGTTCTTTCCCAGAGGTGATGGTGCCGTGAGCACTGTCTCACTAGAGGTGTTGCACTGGAAATAGTCATCTGTGGCTGTTTTTGTTGGACAAGAGTTGAGTTCGCCATAGGACGGCAAACTCTCAGGTGGTTTGCCTGGCTCCAAAAGGCTACAAGCGCTGGAGGGTTCCTTGCTGCCACTGACTATCTCTGGAATACACACTTCTTTATAGCTTGTGGACGCAATGTGAGCCCTTTGGTGACCAACAGTCTGTGCAGGCCTCAAAGTACTGTCGTCAATGTAGGATTGGCTGGGGGTCTGGTCGTCTTGGCTGCAGCCTTCAGCCAGGTCTTCCGGCGTCCCTAGAGAAGAAGCACCCAGAGGGCCTTTGGAGTTATCCATCGACCTGGATCTCTCCTTGGCTTTGTTGGATCTCTCATTCCTGGACCTCCGGTCCTGGGTATGGCTGTGGCTTCGGTGCACTTTTGAGTGGGAGCTTCCCCTAGAAGGTTCAGGAAAAGGCATCTCAGTTCTCCTTTTGGCCAATTCACCGGACACATCCCACTCTGGTGTCATGGGGAAGTGGGACTCGAGCACGTTGGTGTTGCTGTGCATGATGAAGTTATCTCCTTTGTGTTCAATGATGAAGCAGCCCTCCCTGGGCACCCTGGAAAGAGGATCACAGAAGTCATACTCCCTTTCACCCGGGATGTCCAGATGGGAACCGTCGGAGGGGTCTCCTTTAGACACTCGTGTCTTGCTGTGAGACCGAGACTTTCCATGGGACTTCCGATGAGTCCTACTCTTTTTACTCCGTCCGCTGTGATGGGCAGAGGACCCGGCTTTACTCCTCTGGGCCTTTTCTTCTTCCAGTTTCTTCATGAGGGCGGTGTGCCGCATGACATTTTCCACGGTCAAGTCTGGGTTAATGCGCCTAATGATTTCCATCTCCACTTCCCGGGGGATCGTAGCGGGCGTGTCCTCGTCTCGCAGGGGCCACTCTTCAGGAGGAAACTGGGCAGAAAAATTGGCCAGCTGTTTGGTCTTGTCTTTTTTAAAACTTAGCCGGAATAACTTTAGCCCGAATTTTTTTGACTGCTTTTCACTGTCTTTAGGTTTTGAGAGGGTTTCTGTCTTGTAGGAAAAATTTACAGTACTTTTGCTCTTTTCAGTGGGTGGCACCTGGCACAGAGAAGGGGGGCAGTAAGGGTCTTTGCAGTCCTTGGCAGACTTCCTCTGCAGGGTGGGTGCATGCGTGCTGTGCACGTCTTCTCTGCAGCAGTGGCAAGAGTCGCAGTGGTTTCGGGGCAATGTCCTTTCCCTGACACAGCCTGAGGCAGAGGGCGTGATGGTCCCGGGTTGCGGAGAGGTGCACTGAGACCGGTCAGGTATCCTCTCGTCCAAATGGTACCATTTACTGTTAGTTCTTATGAGGGAAGGCGTTATGAAATAGGTCTGCGGGGTCACGATGAAGTAGCCATCTGGAGTTGGGTAGATTTTCCTCTCCCGTACCAGCGTGTTCAGCGTGTGCCGCAGAATTTCTTGGCTTGGGGTTGGAACACCTGAAACAAAACAAAACAAAACAAAACAACAACAAAAAAATCCACTTGTGAGAATCAAGACAGAACATGTTGATTCCTGATTTCCAGGATTCTATTCATTATGCCAAGATGCCAAGTACCATGACATGGCCAGGAGGCACTATTCAGACAAAGGTGTTCATTAAGTTCAGTGCAAATCCTCGCCTTCTTGGATAACTCCTAAATTACTACCCACAGAATGAGCAGATATAAAAGCTGTGAAGACAGAGATGGAAGTTAGGTGGAGACAGATTGCTACTGCTGTTACCTGTTGTTTGAAAGACAGAATATTTTAAATGAGAGAAAAATGAAAAATGTTTTCCATAATATGATATAAAAGCAACTAGAGAAGCAGAGTGAAAGTATCTACCTTGATATTAAAAAACACATCTAACATATATGGAGGCTACCACAGAGGAGTTACTGTATGTGCTCATTGTTAAAGATTTGACTTAATAAACTTAGTTTTGTGAATTATATAAAAGGGCAGCTAGACTTGACTACTGTTTATGATGTACCCTCTAATTTTGGAGTCATCGCCTTCCATTTGGAAGTTGACTGCAGCACGGGTAAAATTCATGTAAGAATGTTCTCCTTTTTGGCGTCAGTCAGTAAGATGAAGGTGGTTTTTCTAATTTCTAACCAAAGCGCCCTAATAAATACACAGTGAAGGCTTTGACACTCTATATCTGTTTGTCCAAAATTGCCATATTGGCTAGAATAGAAACACCAGATAAAAATGACGAAAGCTTCTTTGTATGACTGATCATTGTTTTCAAAGGGTTTTTGTGCATGTTTATGCCTCATCTACCTTAAGAGACAGAATTAAGAGTATAAATTCTTAAGAGAGTTTAACTTCTCCAGGCTCCAGCCCACTTACTTCATTTCTTGGGTATTCTTCCTTTCTCAGTGCCAGGCACATAAAGGGTGATAATACTTAGAAGATTGATCTGAAATCGGTCAGGTTGAATCATATGAAACTGCCACTATGTAACCATCTGACTCACAAAAGTAGCAGCTTCATGTGGTTCAGCCTAACACGAATAAGGCAGTGGAAGGTGGAGACCAAAAGGCTGGGCCAGGCTGCTGGACTGAAACCCTTGCCCTGTCATTGCTGGCTGGCGTCGCTGGTTGAATTACGCACTCCCCATCCCAATTTGTATGTTGAAATCCTAACCCCTAATACCCTTTTAAATATGACCTTATTTGGAGAAAGGGTCTTTAGAGTCAAGTTAAAATGAGGTCATTAGAGCGGTCTCTCATCTAATATGACTGATGTCCTTCTTCTGAAAAGGGGAAAGCTAGAGACAGAAAGGCACAGAAGGAAGACACTGAGGAGACACAGAGAAGGTGGCCATCCATAAGCGGAGGACAGGGGGCTCACAGCTCTCAGAAGGACAACCAAGCCTGCTGAGATCGTGATTCTGGACTTCTGGCCTCCAGAACCGTAGGACAATAAACGTTGGTTGTTTGAGCCACCTGCACTTTGTGACAGCAGTCCCAGCAAATGAAGACAGCTGGCACCACCTCAGGCAGCTCGGCCTCTCTGAGCCTTCATTTACTGTCATCACAAGGTGGATAGCAATAGTACCTGTAGCCACTGGGCTGAGGTGAAAGGAGTTTAGTGTGTGTGGAGCAGGGCACAGCACACAGGGAGTGCTCAATAAATATCAGCTGGGAGTTAGTCTCCACTTCGGGTCGGGACGCACGGAAAACCAGATTGCCTTCAAACAACGATGTGCACCAACCTAGAACACCTGGGTGAGCTGAGCTGCTTCAACTCCCCAAGTCCTTCCAAAGTAGGAAATCAAGGTATTAGAAATGGCCTGGAATTCTCAAGGGGAGAAAATCCATGAATGCGAGGTAACATACACACCCATTTGCGTGACCATCTTCAGAAGGCATCCTTAGTGACCAAGGCAAAAAAGGTAGCATTGTTAATAGATAATGTATTAATATCATTATTTAATTTTTGAGTTGCATGGTTTCCTTTTAGTCTAATACTTTACTTCTGGTAAGCTAACATTAGTTTTTATACAAATGATTTTAAGACCAATAATAACAAAATTTGTATTTGAATTTTATAATGCTTTCTGTGCAAAATAGAAATGAATTTTTTTCTTTTTTTTCTTTGAGACAGGGTCTCACCCTTGCGCAGGCTGGAGTGTAGTGACAAGATCTCAGCTCACTGCAGCCTGCAGCCTCAACTTCCCCAGGCTCAGGTGATCCTCCCACCTCAGCCTCTCGAGTAGCTGGGACGACAGACACACACCAAAACACCCGAGTAGTTTTTATATTTTTGTAGAGATGGGGTTTCTCCATGTTGCCCAGGCTGGTCTTGAACTCCTAGGCTCAAGCAATCTTACTGCCTCTGCCTCCCAAAGTGCCTTCCACTGAATAACTTCAGGGGACACCACTGACACGGTATACACCTTCTGAGATGAGGGCACACCTCTGCACCACAGTCTCACGAATGATGCCCACTGTCATTGTTTGGCACAGTAATCAAGATAGCAAGCCCATGTTTAAAACTGACCACATCTTAAATGGTAGCATACTTTCAGTCAACAATATGACAAACTTCCTCAAAAACTCGTAAGGTTCATTTATAAGTATTCATGAGTGACCAGTTTACCATGGCTCCTAATAAGGGAAAGCTGAGGTATGCGTGATAAAAATAGCTATTACTATAAAGCAAAAGTTTAATTTTATTATAGAATTTGCTGACTGTAGGTCTTCCAAATGATGATCTTAGGAAACTCATAAAGCTATTAATATATAGAATCATGACTACAATGCAATCATCTTTACTTAAAATTAAAAACAAGTTCTCTGGTGGTTCTCAAATGAAAGAATAAAAAGAAAAATAGAGAAAAAAATTGAGAAACAATTTTCTATTTCCATAGAGTATTTGTGCTTAAATTTTCTTATGTCTTGGGTTTCCAGGTATATCAATCAAATAATGTTTAATTTGATAATGCACACTAGAAACATTCTTTGCCCCCATCCAATCCATTTTCCATGCTATGACCTGAGAGTTTTCAGACTTAACTGAAAGTTGCTTATGTTTATGATTATCGTATTATTATTAAGCCCTAGTATACTGACTGATCATCTATGAAATTCAGGGTTCTACCAGAAATCTGTAGGGTTGACCTGAGAAAGTGATGGTTGTGATGGATATTTAACATTTGCATACTCCACTACTTCCAAATTCAACTCTGAAAGTTTATCATGAATTCAGATGTTGAGGGCTTAAAGAATAAAAATACACTTTACATCCTAACAGGCCTGAACCTGACCTCTTCCATACCTTTACATTTTTCAAAGCAAAAATAACTATTTAAAAACACTGCATGATGCTGTGATCTACTTGGATCTACATATTGCGCTTTTTTTTTTTTTTGAGATAACATCTCACTCTGTCACCCGAGCTAGAGAGAAGTGGCATAATCTCGGCTCGCTGCAACCTCTGCCTCTCAGGTTCAAGTGATTATTGTACCTCAGCCACCCGAGTAGCTGGGATTACAGGCACGTGCCACCACGCCCGGCTAATTTTTGTATTTTCAGTAGAGATGGGTTTCGCCATGTTGGCCAGGTTGGTCTGGAACTCCTGGCCTCAAGTGATCTGCCCACCTCAGCCTCCCAAAGTGCTGGGATTACAGGTGTGAGCCACCACAATCAGCCTCTGTGTAATGCTTTAGTCCTGTAAATCTGACAAACTGTCAGAACAGAGAGCACGTGGACCTGTTCTGTATGATAAGCACTTTTAAGTGAAACCCTTTAATGAGCCTTGTTAGATTATTCTTGTTTGTGTAGAACGCTGGCTGAAGAAGAATTCGAGAAGAGCTGACACATATAAGGAGAGGAATGGGAGACAGAACACAGTGAATGTAATATTAATATTCTCCAGCAATCTCTAAAGTCAAGTTCAGCTCCATACCTAGCCTTATAGGTCTATCTCTATGTCCCTGAAGACCAGCCTTCCTCCCAGAAAGATTCAGTTGTAACAGCTTAACAGGTACCAGACCAATTTAAATGATCATTCTGGATGAATGGATGCATAGTTATTTAGAAATATGAGAAGCAAGTATTATTCTTTATAAACCTTTTAAAAATATTCTTGATTCTGTAATGGAAACTGATAGATAAAAGTTGTTGAGTTGGTTTTCAAGAATTCAGCCAACTTTTTTCACTTTTATAGAAAAGTGATAAAAAGGTTTAAGTTTTGATGTATCAGAAATTTTTACTAGAAGACTTTTCACTAAACTTTCTTTAGAATATGGATACCCAAAACAAGAAAAGAAGCCAAACTCTAGACTATACTTTTGATTCATAAAATATACATTAAATATGAGATTCAAATATTTTAATAATACTTTGGCTCAAAAACTTTATTTTTCAGTAGTAAGATATAAAAGAACTACTTTATTCTTGTCTTTAAAAAACAAAAAATATAAATACGATCTTTAAATCCCTCCAGAGTTTTAGCACTGTCATGAAAATATGATTTTCAAGTAGAATTTAAAGGGTTGGGTTTTCTAAAATATTTTCTTCTGCTATAGCTTAAGTGATAGCAAAAGACAGACCAAAAAAAAAAAGCAAAGGAAGGAAAGGAAAGGAGAAAGGGAGCTAAGAAGAAGGGAAACAAGGCAGGCAGGCAGGAAACAAACTTTGATATTTTATGAAATACAGTTTAAAATCTGGAGCTATTGTTGAACATAACTTTAAATAGTTACCACCATGCCCTAGCCCAGGGGTCAGCATACTTTTTCTGTAAAGAACCACGTAGAAAATATGTTAGGCTTTTAGCCATATGACCTCCATTGCCACTACTCAACTCTGCCACTATTGCATAAGGAGCCAAAGATCATTCATGAGCAAATGGGCACGGCTGTGTTCCAATAAAACTTTATTTACAAAAACAGGTGGTGGGCCACACTAGGCCTGCAGGTTAGCAAACTCCTGTGCTAGACTTGGGTTTGTATGGTGTCCCTGCAAACTTCTGAGGCTGACAAATGAGTCATCAGTGTCACACAGAAGAAAAGGCTCCTCTGTCTGTCTGAAAACCAGGGCTTTGGGATTTAAGTTTCCTTGCCATAAAAGCTAGCAAAACAGTTATTCTTTCAAGTACAAATGACCTATGGATTACTCCACAAAGCATTCCAAGTTAGTGATATTGTTATCAGCTGCTTGGCAGTGAGGAGCATCTTACTATTACACACTGGCTCTGTGTTCTTTCTATTCTTTATAGCCCAGAAATGGGTGGTATATAAGCAACTTTAGAAACGCCGTGTGATTTCTCATGAAGCTAAATAAAAATACAAGGATTTAAAAAGCTGCTGGGTTGTTCAATGTCAGAAGTGGCTACACACTCACAGGGCAGAAAGCAGGTCCTTCCTCCAAGACCGTCGTGTTTGCCAACACTATCTGTCCCCACTTAGGTGGCTCTCACCTGGGATTCTGTTTCTCTCACTACTGAAAGGAAAGGGGTTTGCCTAGGACTTAACAAAAAGAGATAGGCAATCAGATAGTGAAGACGATTCAGAGATACTAAAATGCTAGAAAGTTTAAAATAATTTGTATGGTGCAAGGGTGGGTTCATGTTAGAGATTTTGAACCATATACATATTATCAAACATAGTAATTAGAATATTGAAAAAGGAGGAAATATCACAAGGAGAGGGAGAAAACGTTTCTCTGGGACACAAGGAGAAGCAGGGAAACCAATGTGGTAGATAAGATCTCTACTCAGCTTAGAACTAGTCCTCCCGTTCTCTTCCCATGTGTGGAGTGCACTTCCCCACACCTTCACTTTCAGTTTAGCAGGTTTGCTTTGGTCGCTGCAATGTTAATGGGGCTGCCATGAACAAAGCTTGAAGACCCTTCGTGCAATGGGCTTGTGCTCTGGTGCCTCTGACATCCCACGAGTGAAAGAGATCTCCATTTGCCCCCTTTTCTAAACAGGATGGGTACAGATGGAGCAAAACTACCCTGCTGGACCCCACCTAGATCAGCTGACTCCTGGGGAACCCACAGAGGCATGAGTGAAATCTACGCTTGTTGCCATAGGCCTTTGATGTTCTGTAGTTGTTTGTTACCCAGAATTTTTGTAGTAAAAGCTAAGTGATACAATTAACAGCTTATATTTACTAAGATCTCTTCTAAGTTGAATGAAAAATATATCAAACGTTCCCTTTTAATATAATCTCTATTTCAATCTAGAAACAGGCTGAGTCCACACCAAGTTGGTAAACTGGTAGCCTGATAATGTATTTCATTTGACTTGCACGTTGCTGGCACACAAATGTTAAAACGTATACACACACACAATTGTCAATATTTAAGAAATGTAGAGATTTCCCATAAGACCAAATTTCCAGATTCTCTTGAAACATAAGACTGGCAGCTCTGGCAGGATGTCCATTGGGGGTGGGGTGACAATACACTGGCTCTCTTGAGAGACGGTCCTGCATTCTGCAGCTTGTCACCCTTCCTAACACCCTCCAGCATGAAAGCATCAAATGCCACTCGCACAACGGCTGGGCTGTTGCCTCCTTTATATAATATTTAAGAAAAAAGTAAATATTTTATTTTTTAAAAATGAAATCCTAATTTATCAAATATTCTTTTCTTAAAACTCATCAAGCCATGACACAAATAGGTAAGATATGTTAATTTTTGACATGACCCTTTCTGCAGTTTAACTCCCCAGGACTAAAGTTTTCAGTTGTTGAACCCTCACATTCATGTATTTAAAGATTGGATTGCAAAGAATGACTGGAGTCTGGGTCATTTTTGCCAGATCCTTCATGAATTCTGAATTAATTTCTTCCTCTCGGTGCCAATTTGAAAAGTATTGCAGCTGAAGCAGTTAAGTTATTTTTTGATGTCATGCAGGTGCCTGAATTTTTAATTACAGAAGTAAGGAAAGCTTCTGGTCAGTTTTGGGGAAGAGTTTTTTCCTATTATCTCTAAACATGGGAAGAACAGTCCATGTGAAGTCCTAGAGTGACCAGAGCACACCGCCACCTGGAAAACGCTCCGTTCCCGCCTCGTTACCTGGGAAACACGTGGTCAGGTGTTCCATCAGTGCTTCTTGGGTGACAGGTTTTCTTGCCGAGTTCATTGCTGAGATGGCCAAGCAGAGGATTTCCCCGAGTGGAATAAACTGAGACTGACTGATGGGAGACATACTGATTGGTGATACATCACCTGCGGAAAGACAGTTTTCAAGTGAGCGGTTCATTAAAAGAGCCGGTCGTCTGTCAGACACACACCTTCACCCGTCCACACCCCTCCCACCTTCACGCGCCCACCCAGCCCTGGTCTGATGAACACAGTCAGCTCCGAACACAGAACTGCTTGCCAATTCCACTCTGAACACAGAAACCACAGCCAATCCCACTCAGGTAGAAAGACTTCCACACGCAGCGGAAGCTCCTACTGCCTCAACAAATAAAACCGCCCTTTAACATCTGAGATCTCATTTAAACAGTCCTAGTACTGAAAGTCTTGCCACAACAGGCTTTTATTTCCGTTTTTATTAACTTGGAGCTGATTTATTTAATAACTGCCAGTCATATCCCGACAAATTGCATTTGTGTAACTTGATGATTCATTCATTCAAACACTGAACGCCTTTACGCATCTGCTGGGGGCACAGGAGCTGCAGAGAGTGAGTGCGCGCCTCTCCCCAAACACCTCTGCCCTCAGTTTCTATTTAAGTGGAGGAGGCAGACAAGTAGATCAAAGTTCCCAACGTTGTGTGGCAGGCTCACAAGAGAACAGAACAACACCTGGGCGCTGCGAGAGGGAGGATAACGGCGCACGGGGAGGTGAGGGTGGGGCTCAGAAGCAGGAAGTTCCAAGGTTCCACCAAGGAGGTGTAATCTGAACCCAGTGCTCAAGAGTAGGCGTGTCCCTGCGGGGCTGGGACCTATAAGCAGATGTTCTCTGGGGCACAGAAGAGAAGGGGGACAGGTAGGTAGGGACGACCATGAACAAAGAGCTGAGTGTCCAAGCTCTGCATTCTATGAGGGGTGGTGAGCCGTGGAAGGCCAAAGGCAGGTGTGGATTTCAGAAAGATGACTGTGGTGGTCGTGGGGATGATGGCCTGGGAGGGGTGGGAGAAGGCAGATTACAATTCCCTCAGAGACTGTGGCCTGCTGCACACTAAAAGGGCCCGTGGAGGCAGGACAGGCTGAAGACCCCTTATTGGAGGGGTGATGGACGGTGACTCTTGAGATGTCAACCTACAATGCAAATATCGGTCTTCATTTCTCGTCTTTATGCCACAGTGCAGTGATTTTCCAGTGATGCTCCAAGGATGCCTAGAATTTCCTGGAATATTTCTGGTACAGAGGTGCCCCCAGCAGAAGCAGAGGCTGGGAGAGCAGGAAAGTCAACTTCTGTCACCTGAGTGCCACCTGTTTTATACCTGGGGTTCTCCAAGGTTGCACTTGAAAAGACGTCCTACACAAAGAGGATGCAAATTATCAACACGGTAGAACACAGAGGGGCTCACGGGGTCTGTTAAGTTTCTAATCTGATTTCCTAAATGTACGTACATAATCTCTCCTTTTTTGTTTCTGAAGCACGTAACAAGCTACCATGGCTGACCAAAGCCGAGACTCGGGTGGGCCGGTGGCATCAAGTAACACCCTCCCCGACAAGGTGTCTGGCTGCTCTGGCGTGGACCAGCCTCCTCACTGTCAGGTACTTAAAGCCGTGCCCAGCCATAGTTCCCAGTTTGCAGGAGGAGTGCAGGGTCCCTGCTGCTCTGATGGGCTAGACGAGAAATGGTTTGCTAGACGAAATCAGGCACCTGGGCCTGGGATGAAGATCAGCATGTGTAGGGGGAGTCCAGCAGGTGCCTTGGACAAAGCAGCAGGACTCCAGCGCCCAAGGCCCAGGCCTCACCCCCTTCCCAAACCCAGCGCAGTTCAATGCCCCCCTTCCCTGGACCACATGGGGCTCCCATCAGCTCTACTGTAGCTCCACTCTCTGCAAGATGGATATGAGAAGGATAAGACATTGTCCCAGTGGCCAGAGGGAGACAGGAGCACCCACATCCAGAAAAGAAGGAAGAGAGAAAAATCAGCAGAAGCCAGGAACTGACCTAGCTCAGAAGCCACACATTTCTGGGGCCTATGGGTCACAGGCATCAAAAAGAGACGCCCTCGGAAAAATTCTTGTGATATTTTGTGGGGCAGTAGCAGGCGAGAGTGAGCGTGAACTTGGGCCCATTTTGGGGGATGTGAGTTTCACTCATTGGCTTGTGAACCTCAATTCATATTGGTGACTCAAAAAAGACAGAATGATGTGGGCTAGGACCACCTCAGTGGGCAAGTTTGCAACTGCCTAGAACAATGTATTTAAATCTTAAAGAAAAGACTTGTCATATCCTTTTTTACCCCCCAAAAAAGCTGTCTTTGTTTGTTTGTTTTGTTTTGTTTTGTTTTGAGACAGGGTCTGGCTCTGTGGCTCGGGCTGGAGTGAAATGGCACAATCATAGCTCACTGCAACCTTGAACTCAAGAGATCCTCCCACCTCAGCCTTCCAAATAGGTAGGACTACAGTCTGGCCACCTCTTAAAGAGCTGGCACTACAGGTGTGAGCCACCATGCCCAGCCCAAACAAAGTCTTATTCTAAAACCTAATGTGGGTTGGGCGTGATGGCTCACACCTATAATCCCAACATTTCTAGCAGTCAAGGCAGGCTGATTGTTTGAGCCCAGGAGTTTGAGACCAGCCTGGGCAACATGACGAGACCCCATCTCTACAAAAAATACAAAAATTAGCTGGGCATGGTGGCACATGCCTGTGGTCCCAGCTGCTTGGGAGGCTAAGGTGGGAAGATCGCTTGAGCCCGGGAGGTCGAGGCTACAGTGAGCTGAGATTGCACCACTGCACTCCAGCCTGGCCGACAGAGCAAGACCCTGTCTCTAAATAAAAAAATACATAAAAAATATGTAAAGATTGGCTGAGTGCTGGTGCGAGCTGCAGCGGAGGTGGGAGTTGGGAAGTTCACCTGTTTGGCCCCGCCCTCCCCACAGCAGGCCCTACAGCTCAGGCACAGACAGTCTGAGACACTGGCCTGTGGTTCCTTCTCTCTCACTCCACCTCCACTGGATAGGACAGGGGCACTGAGGCCAGCTTTCTTACAGAGGTGATAAGTTAGCCCCTGAAAGTCACCTGGGATGATTTTAAAAGTCAGATGAAAAGGAAGGTAGGATCAGCAGGCAAAGAGGGAGAGGATCAATGCAGATTCCAGAACCTCTGGACTTGGGTATCACTTGAGAGGTTAATACCTTCTAATGTGTGCCTATTATATAACTAAGAACATCTCAGAAGATGAAAGATACTAAAATACCAACTATGATCCCCAAAATGCAGGTCGGACTATTTCCAGATTTTTGTATAGGTCATAAGAAGAAACTCGAACTCTCTGTAAAAAAGAAATGACTATTAGCAAAATTAACTGCTTAAGTTTAGGTCATGATTGTCCTTACGGATTTAGCGGAAACAATTTGTTTGGTTTCACTGCCATATTCTCGGTTAATTTCTTTTCATTCATTGCAGCCAACTCCAAGAGGCAGCATGTTTTAAGTGTGTCTGAATGGCATTTGCTTTGGAAAAGCTCAGTTTCACTATAATAATGACTATGGGCAATAACTTTTAACTCAGAATGTAGAACAAAATGGAATTTGGATGTTCTAAATAACTGTCGCCACCTCATCTCATTTTTGTGTTGCACTAAGATATATTACTTTCAACTCCTTTCCCATCCCCGAGCCCATCAGCAATGCTGTCTAGACCCTAATGCTGCCTGGTCTGTCCCCTGGATTCTATCCCTGGAGCTCCCTCGAACTGCCATCATCTCTCACCTGGTCCATCATAACTTGATGATGTTCAGCCTTCCCTCCTGCCTCCAACACTCCCCTCTCCACAGAGCAGCCAAGGTCCTCTTAGGAAAACAAAAAGCACACCACTTCCCTGCAAAAAATCCTCCAGGGACTGCCTACTGCACTTAGAAGAAAAGCTGAATTCTTTGGTAGGCCTACAAGGGCCCGCATGGTCTGAACCTGTCCACCCAATGCTAGGACCACTCCCCACCTCCATCCTTACTTGCCACTCACAACCTCCTCTATTCTTTGAGCATGTCAGGCATTTCCTCAACTCGAGGTCTTTGTATTTTTTTGTGCCCTTGGCCTGGGATGCTCCTTGGGTTGACCTTTCAAGACTGGCTTTTCATGCTTTAGGTCTCAATTCAAATGGCACCTCATCAGAAAGCCCTAACCTGACTGTCTGGTCCACTGCCGTTCCAACACAGCCGAGTTTATTGTCTTCTCTCCCTGCATGTGTGCGTGTGGGTTTGGTTCACTGGTTTGCTGTCTGTCTCACCCACTCGAATGTAAGCTCCGTGACAGAAGGCAACGTGAATGCCACATTCCCAGCACCTAGAATGATGCGGTGCTTACCCAACAAATATTTGTTGAATGAATGAATATCCATTTTTAACATTATAATCCAAGGAATTTCTTAGTAATCTTAAAGGATTGTAATTTTATTAATATTTTTGCTAAATAATAGCAAACAAACAAAAAGAGAATAAATTTAGCCATGCAATTTCTAAGACTCCCCCAATTAACTGCATGAGCAATAGTCCTCCAAACACAGCAGTTACTATAGAAAAATAACTTTATAATACAACTATTATATAGCAATAAGAAATTAAAAATTAAGAAAAACGAGTAAATTTTTTAAAAGAATAATTATATATTAAGTGAAGTTTAGAACATGCATTTAAGATCTGTATTAAAGGAATCACCAGTGTCTCTCAACACAACATAAACATTATTCAAGTTTACCATAATCTTCTGTGGATCTTATATAAACCTGCTTAATGAGCCAACTAGTCATATTTAAGACCAACATGGCACATGTATACATATATAACAAACCTGCACGTTGTGCACATGTACCCTAGAACTTAAAGTATTAAAAAAAAAAAAAGATATGCTATCAGAAAATTCTTCCAATTACTGGACCACATTTATTTCTTCAAAGAAGAAAAAACAGAATGTAAGTACTGCTAAAATATTGTTGGTCATGATAATCTACATAATCTACAGAAACTACCATATTTTGCATGAAACATGAATTATAACTTACTTGTCTATAATTTATAGGATGCATTTTTCTGTCTTTAG